TTCCACACGTGTCCTCCATCTTAAGAAAAATGTATCTCGGAGGAGAACAGTCTTAGGGGTTTGGGCAGTATTTCCAAGTCAGTGGTGTTAATCCTAGGGCGATGGCTGCCAAAGGCTGCGACCAACATTTCCAGGGCTGAAGTTATGGACTCTAGCTAAGCTTTAACTAGCATCGCGTAGCCCTCGAGCCTAACACTAACAGATGGACATTGGAGCTCGTAAGATTCGACTTCTCTACATAGCAACACACAATGATGATACCACGAGCCCGAAAATCCAATGCCGTAAATTCTGGAGGCCCGGAGGGATCCCGACACAGTACAATTCAAATGGCCGGAGTTTTGGTCATTGTGAAGATAAGCAAAGAGTGAGAGTACAACCTTGCCTAACTTAGCTAAGTCCCTCTTAGTCTTGATTCGGAGGGGGGACACCGTCCCGCAGGGACCCTCCGAATTAGTTAAGTTCGAACCTTGCAGACCTGTGCCCAGAAGGGACACAATCATCGCAGATCACCATCGGGGGAGTACACAAAATCTGAGAAACCATATCCGGGGAACACAGTTGGCGCCACAGGTGCGCAGCTCATCACTTCACCGGCACGGCCCATCTGCCGGCACTTCGGCTTTTGTTGCGTTTTCCGATGGTGGAAATTTTGTTCCGAAGTCGAGATATGTATTTTACACATCCAAACGCAATCCTCTGATGATACAGTGCGCATCGGCTCTTCTCGACTACCCCCAGGAGGGTGTTCCAAATTTTTCAAAATGGGAGATCAATTTTTTTTTGATTTTTACTATTATTTTTCATTATTTTTTATTTTTTTTCAATGCCGTTTCACTTTTTTTCTCCTTGCATTCAAATTTTTTAGAGATCTTTGTCCATAATACATAGTCTGTACATTGTAGTACACTTATTTTGTACTATCATACATGCATGCTAGTAATGACAGTTAGTACAAGATCCCTGAATGCCAGTGAAGTTCGTTCACAGAGCAGACCACGTCAATCTCACTCGCTGAAATGGTAGTAAGTAAAGCCGCTCAAGCGCAGAGAGCCAGAAGAGCTATCGAAGCAGAAGAGAAGATCGAATCAGAACGAAGCCGTGTACAAAAATCGGAACGCTTGCGACGACCGAAGGTCCCGCCGATTGAAATCGTCGATGAGGGGCAACCAGTTCCGGTTGAAGACGATGAGCCGAGCGTTGTTGAGGATGAAGCAGTCACAAGCGCTCTTTGAAAAGAGCCGCAAATCTTGCCCTCTGTTGACAATCCGAAAATTCTTCCGCAAAATCGATCGGCAACACTCGGTCTCACAGGACCTGCAGCACAGAAAGCCATGAAAAAATACTCATCTCATCGTCGCATCCCAAGGGCTGCGATGATGGATGTGTCGGTCATGACTGCAACTTAGCTGGACAACTGGCACTGGGCTTTTTCAAGTTTTTTCTCCTTTTACCCTCCATATCATGTAATTAGATGGTCTATGTACATAATACATACCATATAAATACATATTACATACCCATATGGCCATAGTATGGCCTATTTACATGGGTGTTCCAAATTTTAAATTTGAAAATTTCAAACTTTTTTGTCTTGCATGCTACACAATCTGGGTTTATATTTTTGAGTTCTACTACCTCTGTAGAGCTCAAAAATGTATTGTTTACACATGTAGCATGGTTTGCATGAACAAACATAGCGATCAAAGTTCAATTTTTCTTTTGCAGGCGCGGGGTAGTCGAGAAGAGCCGATGCGCACTGTATGTACTGTAAACGTAACGTGTTTCTAGTTCGCTGTTCTTTCCCACATCTGCGAGAGCCCACCTACACCACGGGTGCACCCAGGCGTCTTGAAAACGCCTGGGTTGACCGCCTTGAAGGCGTTTCAAACCAATTGAATAGGAGACGCCTTCAAGGCGCCCAGACGTTTTCGCCTTGAAGGCGACTTGGAGTCGGCTAGGCAAACGCTCTCAACGCGAATCAAAGTCGCCTCCAAACTGACTTGGGAACGTTCAACAGGTGGAAGTCGTTTTGGAGGCGACTTGAAAAACCACCCAAGACGGCTTGTGACCGGCTTCAAAGCTGTCTGCAAACCGACTTGGAAACGTTCCCGCCATGATGGACGACTTCAGGTCGTTTTTGAAATGAAACTGCAACCTCACTTGTCTTGCACTCTGGGCGGTCGGCTTTCTTGTCGGGCCTTAATTCATACTGAATCTGCCGTGATTGGCACCATTGTGGCCAGGTTGAATCAAGCAGGCAGTAGAATTCCATTTAAAGGCTAATCAAGACACCCTCTCGATGGCCGAGAGAAATAACTCTCGGCCATCGAGAGTGTACACTCTCCATGACCGAGAGAAATAACTCTCGGCCATCGAGAGTGTACACTCTCCATGACCGAGAGAAATAACTCTCGGCCATCGAGAGTGTACACTCTCCATGACCGAGAGAAATAACTCTCGGCCATCGAGAGTGTACACTCTCAACGGCCGAGAGGATTCCTCTCGGTCGTCGGTACACTCTCGATGACCGGAATCCTCTCGGTCGTCGATCAGAGTGTTCTCTCTCGATGGCCGAGAGTTGGATTCCTCTCGGTTGTCGGTACACTCTTGATGACCGGAATCCTCTCGGCCATCGAGAGTGTACTCTCGAAGGCCGAGAGTTATTTCTCTCTCTCAGAGTGTGATGGTAACATTGCGACGCCGGGAGGGTTCCTCCCGGCCGTGTGCCTTTCAACGCCGGAAGGGTTCCTCCCGGCCGTGTGCCTTTCATCGCCGGGAGGGTTCCTCCCGGCCGTGTGCCTTTCAACGCCGGGAGGGTTCCTCCCGGCCGTGTGCCTTTCAACGGCCGGGAGGAATCTACCCGGGTCCGGCCGTTCTTCTGTTTTTTTTTTGCAGTGCCGACTCCAAACCCCCATGGGGTTTTGGAGTATCGACTCCAAAAAAACCCCGGGGGGGTTTGCAGAAAGAAAAAAAATAATAATAATTTTCTTAGGGAGTCGACTCCCAAACCAATCAAAGGGTTTGGAGGACCGACTCCCAAAAAACGGGGGGAAAAAAAAATTAGGGGGCTTGACGTCCTGAGGACCGTCCGCAGACAGTCCTCCGGACGTCCCCAAAATTTGGGAGTCGGAACTCCAAATTTTGGGAGTCGTTTAACTAAGACCCAATTTGAAACCTCAGTGCTGGATCAGAAACATATACATAAATACATAGCATAGTTGCATAATACCATTTGCCATCTCATTCCGACAAACCAACACTCTCCAACACTGCATCAGCCCGGGATGGTCCAACTCAAGGCGCCCCTCCGATGGCTGGTTCAGAGCGGTCATCGATGGGAGTACCCTCTATGACCGGTCTGTACCGGTCATCAATGGGAGTACCCTCTATGACCGGTCATCACCGGTCATTGATGTACCCTCATCAATGACCGGTACAGACCGGTCATTTTTGGCTGGAATACATGAGTTAAGGCCATTGAGGCAAGTACACACCGGGTCTCCTAACAAACAATGGTTCTGAACCGGTCATCGAAGGGAATGA